GGAGCACTGGGTGTTGTGCACGAACAATGAATCATGGAACACTTCATCTAGAACTAATGATGTAATGTATGGGGATTAACATAAGAATAAAAAAAAAAAAAGAATTCCTCATATCAGTGAGATGATATGAAAAAAAAAAGAAAGAAAACTGTAAGGATACAGAGGAGAACGCACTTAGGATTACTAATCTTAGGCAGCAGACAGAAACCAGCCTCCTTTGATTCCGAGAAGGGTGTGCTAAGATTTCTTTTCTTTCTTTTATTAACTGAACTATTTCAGAGTGCCAAATTATTTAGGGATCTTTACCATGTTTCAAGTCCTCTCCTTCAAGTAGGAAATGATCTTTCTAGTTATGACACCAGCAAAAGCACCGGTGTCAGCATACACAAAAATGCGAAAGCAGAGGCAGCTCCATCCCACGATCATACATTGGGCTCTTTCCTAGCTCCTATTTGGAAACTGAAACTCCAGAACACAGGCTTACATAGATCCGCTTTCTTACATAAATAACCATGCAGTGAAGGTTGCTCTGGAAGGATCGCTGTCTCTAACTTCCAAAAACTGCTCATGTGCGAGCAGAGGACCCCGTGACTGTTACAGAAATTGCTCTTAAATTCATAAAACACGTAAGAGAATTTTTGGAAAATCCCTTATTATTCATTAAAGCAGTTTAGGCCTCATTAATTCAGATAGGATAATCAGTTGTTGATTAGCCAGGTTGTTAAGCATCCATTGTCAGATGCTGATGGGGTGTGAGAAATTACATTTCGTATCTGCCAAAGAGTCACCTGAACGCGGTTAGCACTTCATCAGGTAAGGCTGCATCTTCTGGGGATAAATTAGCCGGATTTTTCACTCCCCAGTCTTCTTTCATCTCACAGATTTTTCTGTATTGCAAAGCAGCCCTCATTCTGATAGGTTTTTCTTGCCTAAGGTCTAAAATATGTCAGAAGCCAACTTTAAAAGCTAATTGGTTACAGGTAAGTCACACTGGTGCTTGGGGCTCTAACACTTCAGGGGCGTGTGTGTGTGTGTGTGTGTGTGTGTGTGTGCATGCTCATGTGTGCGCATCTGCCTGTGTGTTGGTTTGGTTGGACAGTTCTTGGCTAGAGCCTCCTCCTCATTGTCAGCCCTTCAGATCCAAATGGTATTCAAGCCATCAAGGGGATTCTTCAGCCGGGGCTCCAAAACTCAACTTCCTTCCTTTCCAGCCCTTGTCTGCCCTTGGGAGCGGTATAATGGCAGTGAGCATGGTCAGAAGAGGGCCTGGCTAGACAGTGTGACTCCAGTTCCTCTCCCTGACAGTTTGCAATTTATTTTTTTTCCCTTTAACAACAGGACAGCGTTAATATTTACCCTTCGTGTTGTACCAAGAGTGGGGAGTGCATTTCTATAAAGACAGACCAGTCCCCAGGCCTTTATGAAGCTTCTGATCTCAACGGGACAGGGAGTGTCCAAGGCTGTGAGGACACCCCATAACCACCACATCTTCAAAGAGGGTTGTCATTTTTTACTCACGGAACTGCTCCAGGTGGTCAGCGCTATTAGACTCAGGCGTGGCCGTGATAGTCACCAATGGACACGAATTCCCTCCCAGCGTCTGGCAGAGAACATCCTGGCGGAAGTAGACTTGCTTGGGGTTCACGCTTTTTTCCAGGATGTCAAGGTGAGTCTGGAGCAGAGATGAAACAGAAGCGATTATGATTCATGACATATTTTTGACCATAACAATAGAAAATGGCAACAGAGCTTATATTCACTATCTCCCTATAGATTAGACGTCCTTTTATTCACCTAGTGTGCCTGATATTGAGCAGTAAGTGATTAACAAGGGGGCTGTTCCTACTGGCTAGAAGTTCAGGGAAGCTGAACAGGAAACCTAGTTTTTGCACATGTCTGCACAACAGAATATCTGTTTTCAAGTCACACTGAAAGCAAGAGGGCAGGGCATACAGCATGTTTCCCGACACTGAGGCATAGAGAGAATGTGTCCATGAAGACAGAGTATACCCAGAACACTTGGGAACATGAGACAGAGAGCTTCAGCAGCATGAAGCACTTTAGAACCAAGAGTTATACAGAGTGTTGTGAGCACATCCAAGGACAATACAAAGCACTGACCCAGGTGGGATGCTAGATGAAGAGAACAATGAACTGGTAGTGATTAATTTTTTAATTTTCCCTCTCCTACCTTCCCATTCAAACACTCATTTAAAACACAGAAAGATATAGAAATGAGCTAGCCATTGAAACTAAGACTCAACAGTCTTTAAGACCTCTGACTATATTTTCACTAGCTCCAACAGTGGGTTTGATCAGAAAGAGGTTAAGAGATTTCCTCCCACCCACACTGCCACCCTGATGACAGTGACATAGTAACCACAGTAACCAGAGGGAGAAGCTGCCCCCTCCAGCACAAGAACATCAGTGTACAAAACTTATCCTTCCAGGGGCGCCTGGGTGGCTCAGTCGTTAAGCATCTGCCTTTGGCTCAGGTCATGATCCCAGGGTCCTGGGATCGAGCCCCGCATTGGGCTCCCTGCT